ACCAAACCTGGCACACAGAACTCCCATGACCAACAGAAAATACTAGAAGGGTTTGATGGGCATTGAACTTGAGTTTTGGGATTGTAGTTCACCTACATCCAGAGAGCATTCAAACAATGATGGATCTTGGCATGAATACTCAATATGCCCAAATGTGAACACTGGTGGAATTTGGGGAAAATAGACCTTGACATTTGGGAGTCGTAATTGCTGGGATTTATAGTTCACCTGTAATCAGAGAGCATTCTGATCCCCACCAAGGATAGAATTGGGCCAAACTTCCCACACAGAACGCCCATGACCATCAGAAAATACTGTGTTTTCTGATGGTCTTTGGTGATCCCGTTGACCCCCGGTGCCCCCCCCCCCCCCCGGGACCTGATCCCCAGGTTGAGAAACACTGATCTAGAAGATGTCCTAAAACAATTAGTCAAATCTTGTCTCCTGTCCCTGGAGCTTTATTTATGAGAATCTGCCTGATAATGATCCACTTTTTTCATGTTCTTCGAATCTAACTTACTCCCAGACTTTTGGCCAGTAAAAATGCCCAAACTCAGGCATGCACCACTGAGCTTTCAGAAGGAGGAGGAGAAGTGGGTTGGTGGGATGCACCATGATTGATGCTGTTACATGAGGTTTAGAATTGCTCTGGAGAGACTTCCCTTCTTGTCAATATTAGCCCAATAGGCAAAAGCATAGGAAGCAACTGTGGCAGTTAAAATGTTGTCAATCTGCTATAATTGTGTAGTTTGTGGACACATTCTGAAATTACTTCACTATCTTTGGTATTACAGACTCTCCTTATTAGGATTTAAGAGACCTTAAACCTTTTATTTACATCCTTCCCCCTTTCCAATTGAAGATAACATTTTATTCACAGGCTCTTACCCACAAACATTTATGCCCGAATAAATCTTGTTAATCTTTATGGTTTCGCCAGTTGTATTTTGTTCATGTCGACTTCATTCCTCTTGTAGCAGCACATTTACTGGGGAGCCCCCAATCTCACTGGTTTCCATGGGGGTTTGCACTCAAGTAAGAACTCATAGGATTGAAGCCTCAGCCCTTGCTCAGTTTGTGCTTCCAACACACACATATATCTCAGCTGGTATGACATCTACAGCTTGGAGAAATATGGTGAGAGTGGAAGAGGGACCCCCTCCCCTCTCTCGTCTGAACTCTTTTTGACCCCGTTTTCTTTCTAGGGCCTACCAGAGGATGCAAACAGCCATATATTTACAACATGCCTCCTTCCAGAATTTCACAAGGAAGCCTGCTCCGTGAACCTTTCCATAAATATTTCTTTTACTGCCTTGTCTGCTTTAGGTCGGGCTAAAGCAAGACCTAGAGAAGGTGCAATCTGAACTATGGTTACCTAGGTGCCCCTTTTTAATGGAAGTTATAATTGGTGGGTTTAAAATAAGATGACAAGGAGTGGGCATCCAAGGCTCCAACTATTTAAATGGAACTTTTCCCTAAAGATAACACCCAGGTAACTTCTCCCCCAGCTCAGTATGGTGGTGTGCTGGACTAAGGTGTGCACCTACACTGCAGAATTAATGCAGTTTGACACCATTATTATGGCCCTGGCCTAATTATATGGAATGATGGGAGATGTTATTTGGTGAGGCACCAGCAGTCTTTTGCAGAGAAGGCTGCAGAACTACACTCCCTTGATTCCATAGCATTAAGCAATGGCAGTTAAAGTGATGTCAGATTGCATTAATTCTACAATGTAGATGCTCCCCTAGACACCCTGAGACCAGGGTTTGAATCCTGCTAAATTTTGGAAACCCAATGGGTGAACTTGGACAAGTTGCACTCTCTCAGCCTTAATGGAAGGCTATGGTACACTGATTCAATCTTGCTAAGAAAATTCCTCTGTTAGAGTTGCTATCAGTTGGAGTCTAACCAAAGGCAGATGGCTTAAAGAAAAAGTGGGTTATAGAGAAATCAAACGCTCTTCATCTATGCCAGTGTTTCTCAGTCTGGGGTTCGGGACCCCTGGGGGGTCACAAGGGGGTGTCAGAGGGGTCGCCGAAAACCATCAGGAAACACAGTATTTTCTGTTGGTCATGGGGGTTCTGTGTGGGAAGTTTGACCCAATTCTATCGTTGGTGGGGTTCAGAATGCTCTTTGATTGTAGGTGAACTATAAATCCCAACAACTTCAGCTCCCAAATGTCAAGTCTATTTCCCCCAAACTCCACCAGTGTTCATATTTGGGCATATTGAGTATTCGTGCCAAATTTGGTCCAGTTCCATCACTGTTTGAGTCCAAAGTACTCTCTGGATGTAGGTTAACTCCAAAACTCAAGGTCAATGCCCTTGGTGAACTATAAATCCCAGCAACTACAACTCCCAAATGACAAAATCAATCCTCCTCCAACCCCACCAGTATTCAAATTGGGGCAAATTGAGTATTTGTGCCAAATTTAGTCCATTGAATGAAAATACATCCTGCATATCAGATATTTACATTATGATTCATAACACTAGCAAAATTATAGTTGTGAAGTAGCAACAAAAATAATTTGATGGTTGCGGGTCACCAAAACATGAGGAACTGTATTAAGGAGTCCCGGCATTAGGAAGGTTGAGAACCACTATCTATGCAAAGGTACCTTTTCCTTAAGCCCAACTGGAATTAAAGTGAGGTGTTTCTGTTGATTCAGGAATGTCTTCATACCCAAAGACTTTCCAGCTTCACTATCCAAGGCCTTCTTTACAAGAGTTACGGGACCATCTCCCTTCACTGTCCTAGATGCGAGGAATAGCTTTTGCTTTCCTGTAACCTTAAAAGCTCATTATAAGGAATAGTAGCATCCCACTCAGAAGATCCAAATCTTTGGAGTCTTTCTTGGTATGAAAACCACTGAGTACTGGTATAGAGATGGCTTTAAGGCAATTCCCCACACTCCCATATCCACAAAGAGAAGTATAAACACCAAAGAGAAAAGGAGTTCCAAGCAAAGTTTATTAATTTTCACTTATTCTTGTGTGTGACTGACACAAACAGGATGAGAGCCTTACCTCCGGTTCACACTTTTTCCTGAGACAATAGTGCTCCCCCTTCCTTCTTTCTAATTATGGTTTTGTTTCCCTTAGTATTAAGGCAGGACATCTGGTCTTTCCATCTCTCCTTCTATCTTCCTTTTCTGTCTCACTCTCTCACACACACACACACACACATCAGAAAGACTTCTACAAAATCATAAAATGGATTCCTTAATTAGACTAATTTGCAAGACCTGTACCCAAAAGATTTGTACCAAGACCCCAGTTGAAGGTCACAGGATTGGTCTGAACCCTACAAAGAGTCATCTGAAGCAACTTGCCCCCCTTTCTTTGCTATTCTGCACACTCCCCTGGATTAAGGTTCATCTTCTTATCACGCTACGGGGCGCCATGGAAAATTGGAATAGACATTTGTGTGTTACTTGGCTTGGAGAAATGGCCCACAGATTGTCTGAAGTGCCATTATCAGTTTTTAGGATGTGTTTTAAGACTCCAGCTTATTACTGAACCCAAAATGATGTTATTTGCTGGTCCAAGCATATAATTTAAAGGAGAGGAAGAATGTCACAAAAAAGAAAGCAGGCCCCTTCCTTTCAAAACTCATAGCCATAGGACACCTTCATTCCAAAATGCTTGTATTTACAAAGTAACCCTATATTTGAATGGTAAGTACAACCCATCCCCCCTCGGATATGAATTATATTTGTAAGAGCCCCAGGTAGTTTAGTGGCTTGAGTATAGGGCTAGGACATTGGGAACTACTGATTCAGTTCCTGGCTCTGCCATGGAAACCCATTGTGCTATATCTTGGACAGATGACACTAACCAGGCATGTAGGGGGGGAGTTCGGGGGGGGGGGGGGGAGGGGCTTCAGCCCCCCCCCCCCGAAATTCTCATGGTGGTTCGAGAAAAGGCCTTACTGGTGCATTAGTTAAACTGTTATGTTTATTCATATCATGATCTGATCACCATACTCAATATATCCCATATGCATGGGGGTATTGGGGTAATGATACAAAAGGTTTGCTAGGGTAAGAAAAAAAAAAAAAAGGTAGGGAAAGAAAAAAGAAAGAAAAGAAAAAAAAAAACACACACAGAAAAAGGAAAAAATTAAAAAAAAAGACTGCGAAAGAGAAGAAGAGATAGAAAAATACGAAGACCTAGTTAGAAAAAATAAGATAAGAAAAAAATAAGAGACCATATATTCCTCTTAATATTCAAAGCGTGATAATCACTCCCCCAGACTCAGCCCCCCCCCCCCAACCCACCCCCCCCCCCCCCCCCTTAAAAAAATTCAGCCCCCCCCCCCCAAACGAAATCCTGGCTACGGGCCTGCTAAGGGCCCTTCCATGCAGCCATATAACCCAGAATATCAAGGCAGAAAATCCCACAATATCTGCTTTGGGTTGTCTGAGGGCCCTTCCACACAGCCCTATTTTCCAGAATATCAAGGGAGAAAATCCAAAGTTATCTGAGTGTGGACTCAGATAAACCAGGGCCCTTCCACACAGCCCTATATCCCAGAATATCAAGGCAGGAAACCCCACATTATCTGAGTGTAGACTCAGATAACCCAGTTCAAAACAGATCTTGTGAGATTTTATTCAGCTGTGTGGAAGGGGCCTCAAAGGGTAAAAGTTAAAGATTTTCCCCTGACATTGTCTAGTCATGTCTGACTGGGGGGGGGGGGGTACTCATCCCACCAGGCTTGTCTGTAGACACCTCCAAGGTCATGTGGCCAGCATGACTGCACAGAGGTACCTATTGATTTACTCACATTTGCATGTTTTTGCTAGGTTGATAGAAGCTGGGGCTAACAGTGGGAGCTCACCCCTCTCCCCAGTCCCCTAAGGGAAACAAAAGCAAATGCCCCTCTGAACCAGTCTTGCAAGAAGACCCTACCTTAGGGTCTCAGGAAGTGAGAAACACTTTGAAGGCACACACAAAGAAAAAACAAGAGTTCCACTCCAGCAAATCATAAACTAGTGAAGTTTTGCAGAAGTTTAATGTCGGTTTTCATTGGTTAGGTCTGGGATTTTGAGGCAAACACCTCTGCAAGTGAAGAGACTTCAAGGATACTAGGGTCTAGCTCATGATTGTGTTTACGCACCTTGGAAAAGCTCTGTGCAATAATGTCAAATCAAAGCCCAACATTTGAATAGGAGTCTTATAAAATAAATAAACTCCCTGTCTTTGGTTTTTGCTTTTTAGGACCCCCACCTAAGTGAAGGTGAGGAGAGAAAGAAAGAAGGCAAAGTGGACAGACTGTCAAAACAGTCCAAGGCAGCAAGCAAAGGCCGAGAGACCAGGACAGTTCCTTTAAACATCAGCCCTGATGAAGTAGAGCTTCATCAACTCAAGGGGGCCAGCAGCAACGTTTAGCAGCATGTCAAGGTTGAGAGCAGCTTTCCCTGAAAACGCCTAGAAATAAAATGTAAACAAGTCATAATCACAGGCCATTGGTTCTCTATAAAAGCAGCAAATCGTCATCCTACACGCGAGGAAGCCGGACTTTTTCGCGGGTGGCGTAATAGAAGTTAGTGCAATGGTCGCCTTGGGGTTGCTTCCTCTTTGAAACTCAAACAGTGCAGGATCTCAAGCGCGGTTTAGGGGAGTTTCCTTCCTTCCTCCACTGGGTTTTGCCACCACGTCTCTGCCAAGTCTGGTCAAGCCTGGGCGGGGGAAGAGGGGACAGGAGCGCCCATCCCTGGCCTCGTGGGGCTGGAACCTGCGGGGGAAGCAGGGAAAGGCCCGCCTGGGGGAGGGATCAACACCCCTTCTCTCTCTCTTTTCTTCTGCTTCATCCTCCGGTTCTGGAACCAGATCTTGACCTGCGTGTCATTGAGGCCCAGGGCCTTGGCGATCTCCACGCGGCGCGCCCGGGTGAGGTATTTGTTGAAGTGGAATTCCTTCTCCAGCTCGGTCAGCTGCTTGGTGCTGAAGTTGGTCCTGGCCGGGTTGGGGGGGCTGGGAGAGGGCCCATAAGCCGGGAACTTGCCTGGAAAGAACGAGATCGCAAAGAGAGAGTGAGTCCCCTTCCACACAGCTGAACAAAATCCCACAAGACCTGCTTTGAACTGGAATATGTGGACTCAGACAACCCAGTCCAAAGCATATACTGTGGGTTTTTCTGCCTTGATATTCTGGGTTATAGGGCTGTGTGGAAGGCCCAGAAGACAACACCCCCCCCCCCCCCATTCAGAGAATGGGCTTGTTATGAAGATAACACTTATTGGTATCCTTTTAACTCCACACTCCTTCAAGTAGAACATCCCCTGTGCATTGTTTATAGCAGTGATGGGCAATCTTTTGAGCTTGGTGTGCCAACATTGAGCTTGGTGTTCCCAAAAACCTGAGCATAATTTGGGTAAAGCAACACTTCGAGAGAAAAAACCCATAATTTTGCAATATTTATAGTTTAAATAAGAAAAATGTATAATCCATGCTGAGTTATGGAGTGAACAATGCTCAAACATGCAGATGTTAAATTTGCAGAGCCTTTTACAAATTTAAGGGTGGAATTAGATTGGCTCTTATAAGGTGTATTTCTCTGTATGTGGCCGCATGTGTCTGTGTGTCATCAACAATAGCCATGCATGTCAGTGCTGACACACGTGTCATAGGTTCACCATCACAGGTTTATAGAATCATAGAATTGGAAGAGACCTTGTAGGCCATCCAGTCCAACCCCTTGCCAAGAAGCAGGAAAATCGCATTCCAACCACCCCCGACAGATAGCCACCCAGCCTCTGTTTAAAAGCCTCCAAAGAAGGAACCTCCACCACACTCCGGGTAGAGAGTTCCACTGCTGAACAGCTCTCACAGTCAGGAAGTTCTTCCTAACTAGCTCACAACCTCTGAGGTTGCTTGCCATAGATGCAGGCGAAATGCCAGAAGAGAATGTCTCTAGAACAGTGGTTCTCAACCTGGTGTCCCCAGATGTTTTTGGCCTTCAACTCCCAGAAATCCTAACAGCTGGTAAACTGGCTGGGATTTCTGAGAGTTGTAGGCCAAAAACATCTGGGGACCCCAGGTTGAGAACCATTGCTCTAGAACATGGCCATATAACCCGAAAAAACCTACAACCCAGTTCTTCCTAATGCTCAGATGGAATCTCCTTTCTTGTAGTTTGAAGCCATTGTACCGCATCCTAGCAAAAAACAATCTTGCTCCCTCCTCCCTATGACTTTCCCTCACGTCTTGATACATGGCCCTCATCATGTTTCCTCTCAGCCTTCTCTTCTGCAAGCTAAACATGCCCAGCTCTTTAAGCCACTCCTCATAGGGCTTTACTTTACGATGGGAAATCTGCCGTTTTATTACACTGATTGGAAACTTTCGGGACGGGGAGAGCAAGGTAACGGTAAAGTACAGGGGGAACCCCATCCTGAACGCATTCCGTTGCTCTTGGGGTGCATCATCACCGTAAAATCTATGCAGTTTGACCCCACTTGAACTGCTCAATGCTATGGGATCCTAACCGTTGCCGTTTGGTGAGATGCCATTACTCCATGGCAGGGAAGGCGGAGGACCCTGTAAAACTACAACACTCCGGATCTCCTCCCCTTGAGGCATAGCAGTTTTAGTGGTGCCAAACTGGGCTATCCTACAGTGTTTTTTCCGTGTTGAGAAACTGCAAATCGCTTCTGGTGTGATGCACCATTTGCTTTCTGCTGAAGGTCTCAGACGGAGGGCCCTTCCACACAGCCCTATATCCCAGAATATCAAGGCAGAAAATCCCACAATATCTGCTTTGAACTGGGTTATCTGAGTCCACACTCAGGGCCTTTCCACACAGCACTAAATCCAAGAATATAAAGGCAGAAAATCCCACATTGTCTGCTTTGAATTGAGTGATCTGAGTCCACACTCAGATAATGTGGGATTTTCCGCCTTGATATAGAGAGATAGGGCTGTGTGGAAGGGCCCTGAGAAGCAACTATTAGCCGAGAAAGCGTTGCTCGACGACTTCTCCATTGGAGAAGCCAGAAAGGGCATTCAACCTATTACCTCTCTTCTTAGTGGGGAATAAAACCGGTTTCCCTTCCCTCTCTTCACTTGCTGGGATGAGCAGGGGAATGTCCCCAGGGAGGGATCAGCAAAGGAGAAGAGACGGAAGCCCCAACTACACTCACTATTGAATGCAGTTTCAATCTGGCATTGAAGGAACTGATTCTGCTTTGCAGGAAACCAATCTTGGAAGCAGTTGTGAGGCTGGGCTGGGGATGGCACAAACCAAAGCGCGCTGATGCACATCGAGGGCTTCCTTCCGCGCACTTTAGTGGGAGTTTGTAGCCTGGCCGCAGAGTTCGCCCTGGAACAAATGTGGAGTGCAGACGGGGCCTGAGTTGAAGAAGGGGCGAGAGGGGAGCTTACTTTTGACTCCGGCGCTGGAGCCGGCGTTCCTCTTGACTTTCATCCACTCGAAGGTGCTGCGCGCGGCCTGGGCGCAGCGGCAGAAGTCGGGGCTGGGCAGCGGGGGCGCATCCTCGGGGCCCGGCTGGAAAGCCCGGGCCAGCCCTCCCCCGCCGTAGTCCACGGAGAAGAGGCAGGCCGGGTAGTGGGCGCCGGGGGGCTGCTGTGGCCGGAGGAGGAGGCTGCCCTCGGCCGAGGAGAAGGCGCAGGCAGGCGGCGGGGGGCGGCGCGGGTGGGCCAAGGCGGGCAGGCTCCCCACGCCGCCCTCCCCAACCTGCCCTCCCGCCAAGCCCAAGGCCTCCCCGCCCCGCGCCAGGTACTCCAGCAGAGAGTTCATGGCAGGCCCGAGGAGGCGGGAAAGAGGAAGAGAGGCAAACCCGGGAAAGAGAAGAGGGCCGCCCCGCCGACTCCCTTCTTCTTCTTCCTCCTCCTCCTCTTCTACCTGGAGCCGCCGCTACTCCGCGCGCTCAGCCCTCGGCAGGCAAAGCGGCCGCGAGGTAAATAGTGCCCCGCTATAAGGGCCGAGGGGGAGGGAGCACGTGCTCGCCCGCTGGCCAATAGGGGCCCTCAGGGCCCAGGACGCGCGCGCCACCTGGGAGGGAGTGCCAGGCCCGGGCAAGGGACCCCCGCCCCAGAGCCAAGTTGGCCAAAGGAGGAAGAGGAGGAGAGCGGAAGAAGGAGAAGAAGTGGAAGAAGCAGTGGAGATGGAAGAGGAAGAGAGAAGAAGAGGAGAGGAAGAGAAGGACAACTGGAGGTAAAGGATAAAGGAAGAAGAGGAGGTGGAGGAGCGGCGGGGAAATGGAAGAGAAGAAAGAGAAGAGGGAGGAGAAGGAGAGGAAGAGTAGGACAACTGGAGGTAAAGGGAAGAGGAGGAGGAAGAGGATGGAGGAGCGGCGGGGAAGTGGAAGATAAGAAAGAGGGAGAAGAAGAGGGAGAAGGAAGGAGGAGGAGGAAAGGAAGAGAGCGAAGAAGAGGGGGAGAAGGAGAAGAAGAGTAGGACAACTGGAGGTAAAGGAGGAGGAGGATGGAGGAGCGGCGGGGAAGTGGAAGATAAGAAAGAGGAAGAAGAAGGAGAAGGAAGGAGGAGAAGGAATGGAGGAGTAGGACAACTGGAGGTAAAGGAAGAGGAAAAAGAAGAGGATGGGGGGCGGGAAGATAAGAAAGAGGAAGAAGAAGAGGGAGGAGGAAGGAGGAGGAGAGGAAGAGGAGGACAACTAGAGATAAAGGAAGAAGAGGAAAAATGAGGAGAAGGAAGGAGGAGAGGAAGAGAAGGACAGCTAGAGATAAACGAAATGGAGGAAGAGGAGGGAGGAGAAGTGCATCTCTCTTCCAACTCTATGATTCAATGAAAAGGAGGAGAAGCAACAAGGCAAAGAACAGAAGAAGGTCCTGCCTGCTCTTACCTGTCGCTTCCAGGCGTCTCGGCTGCAGAAGGAGGATTCCGAGAGAGAAGTTGAGAGAGAAAGAGGGAGTGGTCAGCCAGGGACTCCGAAAGGCAAAGCCTCGTTCGCCTCCGTGGAGCTGGAGCTTTTGGCGTTTCCTCTTTCTGCATTTCATACATCTCCAGTGGAAGGTGGGACCAGGATCCACAATGCGCTCCGATCTTCCTTCTCGTCCAAACTTGGAGGAGCTTTCATCTCCCTCCTACTTGTGTCGGTATCGTGTGCCTGCCTTCGAGTTTTCTCGGACTGATGGCGATCCGAGTTGTGGTTTTTTGGGCAAAATTTGTCCCGCGAGGGTTTGCCCTTGCCTTCCTCTGAGGCTGAGAGAGTGTGCTTTGCCCCTAGTATTCAGTAAATTCCATAGGCGAGTCGGGACTCGAATCCTGATCTCCTAGTCCAAAGCTCAAACCATTAGACCACATTGGCTCTGTCAAAGAACCTCCCTGCCCGCCCCCGTCCCCCAAAAGTGGTAGAAAAGTTAACGTCCCGGTTGGAAGGGGGGGGGAACCCATAATACTTGAGGATCATTGTAGTATTAATTTTAGATGTGGGGGTGCGATGGGTGCAAGGCTGAAATCCTATTTCTTGCAAAGTTAACCTCAAAACCTCTGAGGATGCTTGCCACAGATGCAGGTGAAACGTCAGGAGCGACTGCTTCTAGAACATGGCCATATAGCCCGGAAAACCTACAACAATCCAAACTTAACTTTATTTGGAATATATAAAGAACTTCCAAAGTCGGGAGAAGAGCGCTGAAGTTAATTAGATTGAATCCAGGTATTAACAAATTTGGAGAAAGGGTTAAGCGGGCCCATGAAGTTCAGTGGAGTTACTCTAGGCCTTGAGAAGATAGGAAAGCTTGGAGAAGACAATGATGCTGGGGAAAATGGAAGAAAAAAGGAAGAGGGGCCGACCAAGGGCAAGATGGATGAATGGCATCCTTGAAGTGACTGGATTGACCTTGAAGGAGCTGGGGGTGGTGACGGCCGACAGGGAGCTCTAGCGTGGGCTGGTCCATGAGGTCACGAAAAATCGGAAGCGACTGAACGAATAAACAGCAACAAACCCTAGGCTTAGTTTGGGGCCTGTCCATTGGGAGAGTGTGAACAGGAGAGATGCTTGTGGGATTTCCCACCTCTTGCGGCCCAATGTAACAAAACATCTTGCTGGGTTGTTGTAGGTTTTTCGGGCTATATGGCTATGTTCTAGAAGCATTCCCTCCTGACGTTTCGCCTGCATCTGTGGCAAGCATCCTCAGAGGTTGTGAGGCAGGCATCCTCAGATGAACCTCACAACCTGAGGATGCTTGCCAGATGCAGGCGCAATGGAAGTAGATCTAGACTTCTGGCCATTGTCTAACGATGGCCTAGAACAGTGGTTCTCAACCTGGGGTCCCAGATGTTTTTGGCCTTCAACTCCCAGAAATCCTAACAGCTGGTAAACTGGGATTTCTGGGAGTTGAAAGCCAAAAACATCTGGGGACCCCAGGTTGAGAACCACTGACCTACAACAACCCAGTGATTCCAGCCATAAAAGCCTCCGACAATACATAAAACACCTTGCAATTCCCCTACCTATCCACCCTCCCACCCAAACTCTGCTTCCAACAAAACTGCATAGAGGATGAATGGCAGCAGCCTTTCACTCCTGTTCCTCAGCCCTTCCAGTTCTCCTGCCTGGGCTTTCTAAGGATTGGAGTGGCCTAAAAAGCATCCGGAAACCAGTGCAGATTGGGATGGCTTGAAGAATGCCTGCCACTACACCGAGGAGCTATTAATGGTCCGCAGCCAGCCAGCACATAAGTGCTCTGTGGGTCCTCCTTGCAAGGCCTCCTGACGATAATGGGCTTCCTTGTTTCCCTTGGCAATAATAATAATAACAGCCTTGTTGCTTAATGACTGCTTTCACTTGAAACAGCAGTAAAGAAAGGAAGCTGGCTTCAGAGTGGGACATTTCTTTGCCAAGCTCTCCAATGAAGGCAGCCGGAGTGACTTCATTTTCTTTCAAAAGCAGAAAGATTCAGAGATACTTCTTTCTCACACACACTGTCCATTCTACATATATATATAAACAGCAACAAGGAAGCTTATTTTTAAGCACATACCTTACACAATATTACCCAGAAATGAGCATTCCTCCTGTGGTTTTATTGCTTCCTTTGATCCTAACATTATATTTATTTTTATGCAGCTTGTAATTGTGTTTACTTCTGCTGCCACCATATCACACTTTGGGGATTCCTTCAGTCCATGTGCCATTACAACTGATTTACCCAGATGCAGGCAGTGTTTAGTATAAACTATTTTTTAAAAAATAGGAGCTGGCTGATTCAAAGCCATATGCAGTGCTCTAGGTTAAAGTTCCTCGAACTTCACTTACACTGACTGAATGGTTTCATTTGGGTTGTCTTGAATATTGGGAATATTGCAAAAGTGGGAAATATTAGGTCCACCATGTGTTTTAGATTTGTTTCCATAATACAGTGGTTCTTAACCTGTGGGCTATGGACCACCAGTGGGTCATGAGGATGGAAATCTGGTCTGCGAGCCTCCTTCCTCTTTATTTGTTTATTTTATTTATTTTATTTCCGCTCCTTTTACTTTCCCTGTCGCTCACCATGGCATATATTCTGTATCAGAAACTAGATCTGATGTGGTCTATCCAATGCAATTTTCTGAAACAGCACCCAAAATCGAATCTAAAGTTGACCAAAAACTGATTCATAACCCTTTTGGTACTAATGTTGGAGAGCAGTCACTGGTCAAAGTGGCCCCTGGTCAAGTGGTCCCTGGTCACAAAAAGGTTGGGAACCACTGCCATAATACCTTTCTAGCAACCATGCTGGATAGGATAGAACTAACAAAAGTGGAGTCCCAAAAATTTGGAGGACCAAGGGTACCTCACTCTTGGAATAATGTATTCCAAGTATATATAGAGAGAGGGAGAGGGAGAGGGAGAGAGAGAGAGGTTTTATAGATCAAGGGAATGTTTTGGATACAATATATCTTTATTTCAGTAAGAGTTTGACAGGATCCCTTATGGTATTCTTTTGGACAGAATGGAAACATGTGGACTAGATCAGAGCTTCTTAAACTTTTCCCTTTTATGACCCTTTCCACATAAGGAATGTTTATGTGACCCCAGCTATATAAGTATATAAAATAGGCATAAAAACTAAACATTTACTGATAATAAATCAGCATTTGCAGACCCCGCTAAAGAGACTGATTTTTCATTTTTGTGGAGTATAGCTGAAGCATTTTTTTACAGAATCCACTGTAAACAATACATTGTTGCTAATGGAGCTGTATAAATGGGTGACATTCAGAAGCCTTTCACTGTTGCCAATTTTTTCACAAACCCAATACTGAATTAAGGGGGCCTCATTTGGGGTCAGCAGTAAGCTATGGTGCTACTTTTAGAGACATTTGTTGTTGGCTGATGAATCTAAAGAATGATCACCATTCGTCCCCCATCAGCCTAGAGCAGTGGTTCTCAACCTGTGCGTCCCCAGGTGTTTTGGCCTACAATTCCCAGAAATCCCAGCCAGTTTACCAGCTGTTAGTATTTCTGGGAGTTGAAGGCCAAAACATCTGGGGCCCCACAGGTTGAGAGCCACTGGCCTAGAGCAGTGGTTCTCAACCTTTCTAACACCAGGACCCCTAAATATGGTTCCTCGTGTTGTGGTGACCCCCAACCATAAAATTATTTTCGTTGCTCCTTTATAACTGTAATTTTGCTACTGTTACAAATCGTAATGTAAATATCTGATATGAAGGATGTGTTTTAATTGTTACAAATTCAATATAATTAAAGCATCATGATTAATCAGAAAAAATATGGATTTGCAGTACCTTCAACCGATTCAATGCTGACTTCCACAAACCACTGAGAC